CTCCCAGCGTCCCATGTGAGACTGGATCTGGTGGACCTGTTTGTGCGTTTGCTGGTACAGCTGTTCCACCTCGCCCGCCCAGCCGGGTCTGGCTCCAGCTTCCTCTGAACCTGATACTGCTTCTTGAGTGTGTCCCTTATGTATGTGAGGAGTTGAAATCTGCAGTTTGTTGGGTTGGGCTCCAAAAGCGCAGGTGGTTCCTTTTGTGCCACTGGCACAGCTTGGGCGGGGATGTAAATTGAGTAGGGCGGGGTCTCCGGGAATCACCAGGGTGGAGCAAGGGGCTGTGGCGTCTCTGCGACTCCTTGCCTCTCCGTGACTCCGCGTCTCCGCGTCCCCGAGTGCTGGCGAGCAGCTCCGCAGCTCCACGAGACAGCCCCTCTCGCTCTCTGGCCGTTGCAAGGCCATCTGCCTCTCTCTGTTGGGGTTTGGGACCTCAGAATCCTGCCCCAAACAAGCTCAGTGGATTCGAGAGTTTGTAACCCCATCCGATTGAAAAAAAACCGTGCATCCAGTTGCAGCCCGCCTGGTGCGTGACTCCCTACCTCTGTTCTTGGAGCCTCTGCACAACCTACTCAGTCTCAATGCTCTTCTTTCTTTCCTTCCAGTTGTACAGCTTCCACTGGGCCAGCTTTCCCATGGGTCTGAATGATAGCTGTCTTATAGTTGGTAGTCTCGATGTTGTTGTGGGAGGCAGCAGGCACAGGTCTGTACCTTACGCCGCCATCTTGGTTCTCTCCGCTGTCATTGCTAATGAATAGTGTGTGCTAAGGCCTACGAGCCAGAGAGCTTGGCTTATCCTGGGAAGTATTTGGTGACACCAGTATTAGTACAACTGCCAGAGATTTAGACAGAAGATAAATCCTGAAGTGCCTCAAAAACATGCTGAGTTTGGACTTTGCCCTAAATGCAATGAAAAGCCACCAAACACAAATGCCGAGGGTTGCCTGGGTGGTGGGGTGACAGAGGCAAAATCTCAGCTGTCTGCTCCTGGGGGATCCGGGGAAGTGGGGAGTGGATGGTGACTGCACCGCAGCTGGGACACCAAAAGGGGTAAGAGGCTGGAAAAGGGTTGAGAACACGGATTACCCTAAGCCAAGGCCATTCTAGAGGAGTTTTGGTTCAAGGTCCCATGATGTCTGTGACAGCTAATGTTATGTGTCAACACTGAGGGTCTCTTTGGATGGAACTGACAGTGAAATCAGCAGACTCTGAGTTAGCAGAGCGCCTTCTATAATGTGGGTGGACCTCCTCCAGCCAGTTGAAGCCTTGAGTAGAACAAAAAGCTTGGCCTCCCTGAACCGGAGAGAAGTCTCCGGCACACAGCCTCGGGCTTCATCTGCACCAGGTACTCCCCTGGGTGGTGAGCCTGCCAGCCCAGGCTGTAGAGAGTTTGGACTTGCCAGCTTCTGTAATTGCATGAGTCAGTTCTTTATAATAAATCTCTTTACATAAATACACATATCTCATTGGTTCTCTTTCTCTGGAGAACCCTAATACAATGGCAGACCGGAAATTTCTGCTCCCAATCTTTTTTTTTAGAGAGAGAGATAGAAACATCAGTGATAAGACAGAATCTTTGATCACCTGCCTCCTGCACACCCCCTACTGGGGGATCTAGCCCACAACCTGGGCATGTGACCTGACCGGGAATCAAACGGTGACCTCCTGGTTCATAGGTCTATAGACTCTATGCTCAACCACTGAGCCATGCTGGCAGGGCAAAAACAGATAAATCTTATCCTTCAGGGGTGGGGACCATTGAAGCCTGTTTTCTAACAGCTATTTTGAGGTTCCAGGAAAATAAAACCTGGCTTTGGAGTTGAATGGCTGGCACTTTTTATTCCATCACCATTTCTTTTGTTCTCCCAGGAGAGGAAAGCTGGGCATATGCCCAGTCAAGACGTTAGGCAGGAGGAGCTATTGGCACTGCACCTGCCATGAACTGTGACTCCCTTGAGAAAAAGTTGCTTAAACCATGACGGCATCCAGGTGTCCTGCCTTGGGAATTCTTCCCAGACTGTAGAGAGGTATGGCAAGTTGATAGACCAAGTCTTCTTCCCCAACATCCAAAAGATATGTCTATTTTTCATTGTTTTCTAGCCTTGTGTTATAGAGCTATATCAAGGGAGAACAGAAATAAGCTTTTAAGAATTCAGGCTAATTTAAAAGTCATGCATGGGTATTCTACAATAGTTTGCTAAATCGGTGAATTCCCACAGGTTTATTAAAGACTCTCCTGCTTGCAAATTAGCTGGGTGACTGGGCAAACCAGGCACTCCCTCTGGCATGTCTCTCCCACCTGTGAAATGGGAGTGGCGGTGCGGAGGGCAGGACAGACTCCAGAGAGGCGGCCACCATTTCTAAAGTCTGGTTCTAGAGAGAGGATTGGAGAAGTTTTTGCTCCCGGGTGTCTTTGCCCAGCATGGATCCTGCTGCTGGACAGCAGCATCTCAGGGACCCAGACCACAGTGGCTTACTTGTTTCTTAAAGTGACTGGACATGGAAGAAATGCTCAGAACGGGTGGAGGTGAAAGTCTTACACAGTCACACACACATTTTTGTTTTTATCTTGGTATTGTGCACACAGTGAACTGTTTCCTCTTTCACCTTAAATACAGAGAACCTGAAGATAGAGTCAGGTTGTCAGAAACTTGCCCTGGCCGGTTGCTCAGTTGGTTAGAGCGTCATCCTGAAGGTGGGAGGCAGGCGTATCGAGTTGGTGTTACTCCTATCCCAGTGGCATGGCTGATGTTGGAAGCACTGGTTTCGGCTCAGTTGTGGCTTTTGACAGCACAGCCTCGAGTTCCTCAAGCCCACACCGTGGTAATCAATGACACACTTTGCTCTCTGATTTGGGGTAACAGTTCAGAGGTAAGCCACCTTCAAGAATATATTTTTTAAAGGTCATTTCCAATTGAAACCATAAATCGCCAGCATAAGTGCCTAACTTCAGGCCACCTCCATAAATGGGAGAAGAGGTTTATTGCTAATGTTTATTTATGTAGTACTTACCAGGAGCCAGGCATTATATACTAAGAGTTCTACTTGGATTTTGGTCATTATAGTGCTTAGAAACTCCCCTTCCCCCCAAACCTTTCTGAGTGAAGAAACTAAAGCAAGGGGTGCTTATGTAACTTGGACAAGGCCACAAGCCCAGGAAGTTAGGATTCAAACTTAGTGTGATGCCAAGACTCACCCTCTGGATCACCAGCCTGGATCCTTTGTAAAGCGTCTGTCCGAATGCCCAACATACCTGACATTTAATACATGTGACAGCTATGAATGGGTCCCAGATTTAATAGGACACTGGAAAACCACGTGAAAAGTTGGATTCTCCCCCACCCCCCGCTTTTCTATTAGGGGATAAAATGGCTGAAGAAAAAAAATCAGATACAGAAATTAAACTTTTTTTTCATATATAATAAGACTCCATTTGCTCCTTAAGCAACTACATTTATTTAAAATCTTAACATCTTGTACATACAAACATTCAGCAGTTTTGCTTTTCCTGGTTTACTTCCCTCCCATGCCAACTCCAATTAGTGATATTACTATAATACAAAAATGGCCCAAATGATGAAGCCAAAAAGATATATGTTGATGAGAGAACTCCTTTCACAAATTCCCATCTTCTCATCATACCTCTTCACTTGTCAGTATGTTCTAATGCAAAAAGAGTGTTTTTGACAAGGCAATTACTGATTAGGCATGCAAGCAGAGACAGGACCAGTTACGAGAAGCACTAGTTCTGTCAGTTTCCTGCAGCGAGGAATATCAAGCATCACAATTCCTTTTTATCAACAGATTTTGAGTAACATGACCTAAAGGGCAATGCGTAAAGACACACAACAACGATGTATTACTTCAAAATGTGTATTTAATGGCCATTCCATCAAAATCAAGCAGAATCACATTTCAAAAGTATATATATATATGTATATATTGTTTTAAGGTGCATTTTCAAGTTTTATTGGGCGTCATTTCTTCTTGGATGCCTGAGCTGTTCTTACAGATACAGTTAACGTAGAATGTCCAGAGGTTGATAGCTTTGCATGCATTGAAAGACAGGATCCTAACAATATTGCATATCTTGGATACATTAGAAATTTCAAAAGCCATGTGCAATTTCAGAAAATTTAATACCAAACATGAAACACATTTTCAACATAAAATTTAGGCACTCTAGACTTTGGAATAGCCACAAAATATTCCACCGAGAGTTAATGCACTTTGTGATTATATTTACTCAAAGATATTCTCAATTAAAACCTATACGTATTAAATAATATTTTAAATTAGAAAGGTAACGTTTACATTTTGATAATCACTTGCAGCATTGTGTTTTAGTTAAATAATGCCAACTACTTCCATTAGTGATGCCCGTACTCATCCTCATGGTGCATTTTTTGTTTGTTTTTTTAACAGAAGAACCTAAAACAGTCACTGATAAGCATCTCCCCATTTTTTTTTCCTGCTAATACCGGAATAAGAATGTCCCTAATCACTCTCAAAGGTATGCTTGCATTTTCTGCTGTTGTTACTTTCTTCAAATGAA